GCCCCCACATATCTACGTCACTATGTGGAAATATTAGCATAATGCCGCCCAAATGTGCACGCAAAGAAAGAAGGCGTGGTTTCAGGAACAGCAGTAATGTTGATGCAGCCATGTCAGTGAGATGCTGTGTGATTCAGTGATTCAGTGTGTAATTCAGATAAAACGAGCAGACTGAACAGAAACGATCGTCAAAAATGCTTGCGTTTGCAGCGCACACTTCTTATCAGAAAAGGTTCAATAAAGTTGTCTTTTGTTGTTATGGGCGTGTCTACAGATATCTTGCCATATGTCTATGTTTCTTGCATCCCACGACTATGTCGTGTATGAAATAATGTCTGTGTGCATGTGTATAAAACAACAAACTGACAATTTATATATAATCATTTGTAATTGTATATACATTGTTGTGATTAATTGTGGCTGGAACAATAATGTAGCTGTAAAAATAGTTGCCTGATGAAATTGAAATGTATATACATCTTCATCATGACTAACGTTAGATAGACACGGTGAGTTTGTCTTTAATATACACGTTAGATGTGATCCACCTCATAGTAACAATCCTGTCAGATAGTCCATCCTTTGAGTGAGAGTGTAAACAGTGCCCCCGAGGCGGCGGTGCCCGCTCACGATCCTCCCGAGGCGGCGGTGCCCGCTCACGATCCTCCCGAGGTGGCTGGGTCTGTTCACAATGTTCTCAGAGTGGATGTGCCCGCTCTGGATCCCCTTGAGGCAGCGGCGCCCGCTCACAGTGCCCCCGAGGCGGCGGCGTCCGCTCACAGTTCCCCCGAGGTGGCGGTGTCCGCGGGGTCCGCACACAGTGCCCCGGAGGCGGCAGTGCCCGCTCACGATCCTCCCGAGGTGGCGGTGCCCGCTCACGATCCTCCCGAGGCGGCGGTGCCTGCTCACAAGCCTTCCGAGGTGGCGAGGCCCGCTCATGATCCTCCCGAGGCGGCTGGGTCTGTTCACAATGTTCTCAGAGTGGATGTGCCCGCTCAGGATCCCCTTGAGGCGGCGGCGCCTGCTCACAGTGCCCCCGAGGCGGCGGCGCCCGCTCACAGTGCCCCCGAGGCGGCGGCGCCCGCTCACAGTGCCCCCGAGGCGGCGGCACCCGCTCACAGTGCCCCCGAGGCGGCGGTGCCCGCTCACGATCCTCCCGAGGCGGCTGGGTCTGTTCACAATGTTCTCAGAGTGGATGTGCCCGCTCAGGATCCCCTTGAGGCGGCGGCGCCTGCTCACAGTGCCCC